CAGTCATCATTTTGAAGCGTAACACGGAGTTTAAAGTACTATAAGTTGTTCACTAACCATGGCTATTGAGCCTTTACTACATAGAGTGGTCTCATACAGTCATCATTTTGAAGCGTAACACGGAGTTTTAAAGTACTATAAGTTGTTCACTAACCATGGCTATTGAGCCTTTACTACATAGAGTGGACTCATACAGTCATCATTTTGAAGTGTAACACAGAGTTTTAAAGTACTATAAGTTGTTCACTAACCACTGTTAAGAGTTCAGAGAAGACATCTGATGTTGTATCCATGCCACAAACCATTAGAAGCCAGCCAATCACAGCAGGCTGGTGTAAGTTGACTCAAAAATGTCTCAGAGAGATATCAGCATATTGCAGAGACACTTTCAAACCAACACCTGGACATCATGCATTACACATGTGGGAAATCACTACCTGTCTATTTTAGCTTGTCACAATCGTAGGGTATAGACTATGAAACTGAATAAGGTGCAAGCAGTTGCAACAGGAAGCTGTATTAGTGCACAAAGGATTAGAAACAAATTCCACAAGGCCAATCCATATGCTAGACTCCCAGTGAGACATATTTTACTCACGGCAAGGCACAAAACAGTTTCTCTATAATGGTGCCAACAACATGTGGAGCAACTTTCTATTTTTATAGATGAGTCACACTTTACCCTGCAGCCAGATAATAGGCTTATACTTATTTGTAGAGAATATGGAACCGGATCCAACCTATTTACATACAAGAACAAGAAAGTCATTAATCTGGAAGTATGGTGTGAATGTGGTAGTTGTAGACACCTCTATGTCCTAAGGAAAAGTATAATTAATGACAGATCTTATAGGAACTACAACATATGACCCTTTGTGCTACCATGTGCTGATGCAAATAACTCTTAACTTCAGCCTAATGGATGATAATGCCTATCCTGTCATGCTAAACTGGGTGAAATGTTCCTTGAAGGAAAGACTGACTGAATGGAGTGGAATTAACACAAACTTGAAAACCATTAAGCATGTATGGGAGATGCATCACATTCCATCAAGAGATTCTAAAGAGGTTCTATAAACAGTTCTTTCAGGAGGTCAAGGATAACTAACGACCTTATCAACACTCTGATTCTAAGCATACAACTCTAGTTCCAGGCTGTCTTTGGTGTTTTCAGTGATCATACTATATACTGAACTGTAAAGATGTAAAACATATAAAAGTGTTCATTAATAAGCAGAGGCTGAACGACCAATCACTTCCATTTCAGATCACATTATTTACTGTAAGATGTCTAATTTGCATATAAATTGATATCTTATAAAATTTATTTTTGTCTTGTCATAGCTATATTACAAATTTTGATTATCTTTTAATTGTTTTGAGCAGTGTTTTTGAATTTCCTCTTATTATTACCATCTTTATAAACTGATCAAAAGAAAAAAAATTAGGAGAATTTCATGGGAGTTCACGAATGGGGGCCAAAGTGTGCAGGCCATAACATTTTACAGAGTGCCATTCAGTATGGTATTATGTATCTGATGTCAGAATAACAACAATTTACTTTACCCTAAATTGTTGATTTATTGACAGTTTGTGGCAGGGGGGTAAATACCAGATAAAATACATAAGGACCAATGCTCCCTCTAATTTTTTCAATCCATGTGCAGAATGAATTTTTTCATGTGCACCAGTATTAAGGCAATGTGCAGATGTGTGCTACCAGTTTTTTTTTTATGGGGTGGGGTGGTATTTTTAGACCATCGGCCCTATTGCACCATTAGGCTGCTTTGCAATGCTACCAGTTGGTTATTTGGGCTTTAGGCCTATTGACTGCCAGGGTTATTAAGGCCATCAACATGTTGAGGCTCCTCACCATTACTAAGGATGTGTGGAGCCGTAATAATTAAGTGCGAGGCATTTGATTGGTTGTTGTGTATTTCAGAGGCTCTGAAGATTATGCAAACTGTGCAATGGACAAAAGTGTTTTTATTCTTCACAGAAACATCACCTTGTACTCCAACAAGTCAGAGTCAGACTTCCATCATCAATTCACAGACATATTTCGAGTACAAATATTTTTGCAACACATCTAATTTTTTTTGTATGACAGACTTGTACATTGGACTAAAAGCTTGCCACATTTTTCTGTAAGTTCTAAACATTCCTTCTCCAAAACAGGATCAGTTCAACTGGACTGACTCCATGCACGTTTGGCTAAACTTGGAGGGCAAGAGGTTTGATACTGATTTATGTTAGAATACGAATTTTTAAATACAATTTATTCAGAATTTTACAGTAAAGTTTAATTCACTTAATATTCATTTGTACAGATATGATTTATTAAATGAAATATTCCCATAATAATAAAAAACAAGCTTAATTTCCCATAAAACTAAATTTACAGATACACAAGCTTCGTTTCCAGTACACATATTATAATTGCTTGTCATGCCTTTTTCTTTTTGTAGTTTGTCAAATTTTGTTGAAATAATATATGTGAAACTACAACATATAAACCAGCAGTGACATGCACAGGAAGTTGGCTCCAGCTCCTGCCCCAAAAGTGCTGTATTTTCTCTGTCATAAAAATCGTCAACAATTATGAAAAGATACACCTGATTCCACATCTTTCTTGCTACGAGTTATCAGGGGGATGGGAAATTTTAAACTTTAAAATAAAGAGAATGCAGGGATTTGTAGGACTTTATGGTAAAAAAATAATAATTGTGATCAGCTATTAAGTGCAAGAATTTACTGTTTAGTTTTAGATCATAAAAGTGGTTATAAGACCGACTGAATAGGAACAAAAGTGGATCTAGCTGCTTTTTATCCAGTGTATAATAGAGCAACCTAGAATCCCCATAGTCTCACCCCCTAAAACAATGCTTGCCTTATGATGATTGAAAAGTGCACATTTCAATGTCCCCTGTACACAACTGTAGCTCAGAACTGAACATATTTATTAAATTAACTTTCTCACACATTACTGACATAAAAATATCAGGATTATCCTCAGAGCCCCAAATGAAAGACACTGAGTGTTGGAACAACTGACTTACCACTTATTTTTACCCTACAATAGCCAAGACAAGTTTCAATCCAAAAAACTTAAACTTAATTTATTTAAATCAGAGTTTCCCAAGTACCCTGGGGTCTATGACACTGTATGGGGAAGGGGGGGGGGGTGAATAAAGACCAAGGGGGTCAAAAATGGCCCCTAAAGTAAGGTTGGCCTACCAAGTTCGTGCATCATCAAAGCTGGATTTAGCCATGTGAACAGTCTTCTGAACAAACAGAGAAATAGGCTTAATATCGAAGAATGTGGGGTCTTGAGACTTAAACTCACAAACCTACCCTATATTCGTACGCTCATCCATCTCAATAGAAAAAATTAAAACCTCATTCTTTTTTACATTTTATGTTTCCTGACGATTGTATTATGATGAATAAAAGTTGATTATATATTGAAATTTCATTTATAATTCATATTCTAAGAATATGAGTGCCAATGACAACTTTATAAGTTTGTCAAGGAGTCGACAACTCAAAAAGGTTTCAGAAACCATGATTTCAATAATCTGTAAAAACAATACTTTTAAGTTATTTCTCATGCTATGAATCTGCTATGAATAGGTCATGTCCACGTATAGGGAAAACATCTAAGTTAACAATGGCTTATGTCAATAAATGAATGAAAAGGTAGAACAATGGGAAAAACAACAATCAAACTGATCAAAATCTTAAGAAGTTCTTGTGATTAGATAGCATAAATTAAGATTACAAAAAAATGAACCTCTTTTGTAATATAATACATGTTTCATCATCATATTAAACATTCTCAGGTGTCATATATATTTAGAAAAAAAAAGAAATAAAACTATGTTTTCTTAAAAACAAATGAAAAAATAAAAGCTATAACAAATAGCTGCAGCAATAAAAAATACAATTAAAGAATGTAAGCTAGAAATATACTATCTCCTATTTTGTTTACTTTTGTTTTGCTTCAAAGAACAGAAGACAAACAAAACAAAACATATCCATTAAATACTTTGGCCTTATTGGCAAGATGCCTATTTTGTGTGCCCTTGAAGAATGTTTCTGAATAGCTTACTGTTGAAACTTCATACAGCTTCATGTTACCAGGAAAGAGTCATAATAATTTAGTATCAAATAAACTTAGAAAATTCCACACATTATCCATGTTTTACAGAGAAAAAAAATGAATAAAGAATGCTACCAGCATGAAACACTTAGAAAATAAAATTTAATGATGTGCATTAAAAAAAATAATAAAAGCATATATTTAGTTAAGTAAAACAGATTCTTAGTTCTTATTCTTTTGCATCTATTAATTTTTTTTGGAAAAGACATGACTAAAAAAGTTCAGTTTAAAAACTGATATTAAAAAAGGGAAAGACAAGTTGTGTAGAGTACCTTAGATTTTCACTGTTGATTCATAGCATTTATATATCTAGACATATTAAACATGTATACCGTTCATGAAAAAAAATCTCAAATTCATTAGTAATATTATATTCTACAATTCATTAACAGGTTCCCTTCCCCCCCAATATGATTCAGAAACCAGATTAAACAGACGTTAGATAAATTATATTTCATGACATGATATCACGAAAATAGGTATATTAGACTAGTTGTGGTTCTTCAACTTCCATACCGGTAGTACAACTTTTTTTTTTTAACTGTCCCACGTTTTGTACCTCCTCACTTTTCTAACAAGTCACTAAGTAATTTGGGTCAAGGATTTGCTTGGATTATTGCCAACCAGGTATTAAATACATTTGATTCATTTGGTGGATGATAAAATAATACAGCAACATTTCTGTACCTGTGTTTCAACTGCAGCTTCCAGCTACAATAACATGCCTTAAATAAAATGTTGGGTGTATTTACTTAGTACATGCATGGTAAATGATGCATTATGATATATGCATATCACATAATACTAATATAGGACCTTATAAGGTCTTGGGCCCTTTGTAATTTGAAGTATGGTATCTTGTAACTTTATAAAAATTCTTGCATAAATAAATAAAAGATACATTCTACACATATCCTTAGAAAATAGCAAATACTGAAATTTTGTAATGTACGGATTCTATCCTGTTTACTAAAATACTTTCAAAAATATACCATACTGCAGGTTCGTAATCTTTTCTACAGTAACTCCCCTTGATACAATTGTATGGCATTTAAGAAATCATAGGTGATTTTTGTTAAGGTATCAAAGTTATATGAAAACAAGCACAGTGATAACAAGATAAGAAAATAACAAAAATAATTACAATTATACTTGTCATAAGACATTAGTATTAGGCCTATTGTGTCATTCACAATGGATATGACAGATATAGCGTGGTTAGAATACTATTGCTATACGTTCTTATAATTCTTGAATATCCCCGAGAGACTAAATAGATAATGTAGTGTTTGAAAACGTAATAAACCAAATACTGATGTCTTAAAACAGACTGTAAAAGGTATACACATCATAAGAAATAGGAAAAAGTTTATAATGTTGGTTTGATGGAATTATTTAAGTTTATAATTACAAATTATTCCGCAATACTACTGAGAGCCATTCTTGGGTTAGTTATTACAGCTTTTCTAGCTTATACTGAGATCCTCTTCAACCATTTCACTAATGACAGCTTATTCTTCACCAAACTACAATAAATGGCTAAAAAGCAATGTGAAAAAAATAAGTCAGAAAAATCTCTAGCCAGTGTTAAGCAAGTCATCATTCTAAAAAAAGTATATGTTTCTTTTTTCACATTAACGAACAAAATATTATGCTATGGATTGTGTTAAAACTTGTTAAATTTAAATATTTAGAAATAAAAAATAAAGGAACTATTGTTTCATGACGGATTTTTAAAAAAACTGAACTGTCTTTGACTTTTGTTGAAAATTTAAAGCAAACCCAATTATGTATTGCATCTTATTTTACAGAAATTAAAAATTTTTTTTAATAAGAAAACTTCAAATTTAGGTAGTTAACTAATAACAGAAAATAAAAGAATGGAAAAACTGCCAAATGTCGTCAGTCTATTTTTCACCAGAATTTTCTGTTGTTTAAACATATAAATATTATTACTGCATAAAAATTAAAAGTTTACTGACGAACTAAAGCCACTTTATCTATAAACAATCTTGAAAAACTTAAATAAAGTTCAATAATAAAAAAAAAAGATAATGTATTCAGTAAAATATAACAATTATACAGTGGACACTTAAAACAAGTCAAAAGTTCCTAATGTACTACTGTGCCATTCATTTTTCATGATCTTTAGTTTCTAAGACTGTTTTTTTTTGCTTTTACAAACATTTCATTTTATAACTACTGCTTTATGTGTCACAGGTTTCTTTAGATGGTGTAGGACCTCATAAAAACTTTCATTGTGGTATGGAATTTTCCTCGATATTGAAATCACTAATTTTAGAAATTAAGAGAAATGCCATAATTTCATGATTTTTCCATCATAATTGTTTCAATTGTAATGCATATCAAAGCTTAAAATAACTAAAGGAAAAATTAACAACAACAATATTTCAAATCAATAAATTTTGTTATTAGCAATAATTCTGAAATAAATTACTGAAAGGTCATGTGCCCTCCAAAAGCTGTCCTAAGTTATTGGTTGTTTTTAAACAAATCAATCCAATATTCAAGAAATAACTAATTTCATTGGCAAATTATAAGGTTTTTATACTAGATGCTGAGATCGAATGGTTTCAGGTTTGGTCATAAATAAGAGCTTCTGATATAAAAGATACTGGACAAAAAAAGCAATGCATGTCTTGAGGAGACACTAGTTAAAATGTTACAAGTTATAATAATTGACCTAAACTTTTGTAAAAAGAAACTGTGCAACCTTAAATAAGCAAATAAAATTTCACTGACATTACAGCTATTTCATTTAGTTTAGAAAAAAGACCGACTAACAGAAAATTTTCTAGATCAAGCAGGAAATATATTATTTAATATCAATTCATATACCATATACTGTTTGTTTGTTTTGAATTTCGCGCAAAGCTACACGAAGGCTATCTGCGCTAGCCGTCCCTAATTTAGCAGTGTAAGACTAGAGTGAAGGCAGCTAGTCATCACCACCCACCGCCAACTCTTAGGCTACTATTTTACCAAAGAATAGTGGGATTGACCATCACATTATAACTCCCCCACGGTTGAAAGGGCGAGCATGTTTGGTAGGACGGGGATTCGAACCCGCAACCCTCAGATCGCGAGTTGAGTGCCCTAACCACCTGGCCATGCTGGGCCTAACATATACTGACTTGACCATTTCATGGATGAAAAAATGAGTTACTAGGTTATAAAATAAGAACAACAACAAAAATCTTTCTTTGCTTACCTGCAGCTTTTTGCTTCCAAACATTCTTCCTCTCATTTCTGTGACCACATTTTGGGCAATGTCTACTGAATCATAAAACACTAGGGCTTGGCCCTTTTCCCTATCTATCACAACATCTCTGACTGGTCCAAAACGACGCCTGAGGAACTTCTCTGGCACAGAGTCCACAACACCATCTATCCACACACAGCATGTAGGCATGCTCTTACCAAACCCTAGTTTTATCCTGTTAGTCCCATAGAGGTTTTCACCATCTAGTTTCCGTATTGCTTTCACAACACTAGTAATATCCGAGAACTGAATAAAAGCGTACAAGGATGTACTGGTTGCTCCTTGTTTTTTTATATCAATTTCCTGATAAAGAAAAAAAAAAAGTCCATGACTAACTTCACTAAAGCTAAACATTCAAGGTAGTTGTGTAAATAAATTATTAAAACACTCAAACGATCAATGTTTTTAGGTACACAATTTAAAAACTTTATTCTGAAACCATCAACAGTCTCAAAACAGACACTCTACATATTTTGACATACAGTAACATCATCGTCATAAATAAAAAATAAAAATGTATATACCAAAGCCGATAGTCATGTGACCCAACACAACCACTACTTAATTTACATACTGAACTTAAAGAAGATCATGCCATCTGCATATATTCTGACTTGCCAACCCTTAATTTTTATTCAACATATAATAACTATTTTCTAGTGTGTTTCATTATTTCTGTCATATTGAACCACATTATCAGTTTTTTCCTTACTTTTAACATTTCTCTTATGTTTGTTTATCCTAAACTTTATTTTAATTAGATCAATGTATACACAATCACATTCAATTTTGTAAATATCTGTTTTCTCTATTACATTAATTACATCTTTAGTTTTATTTAATATTTGACTAGTTTTATACAGAGGTATATAAATCAGAGTAAGATCTATATATATATATATATATTTTTAATTTCTGAAAAATTTGATATGATAAATGTGGGGCACCCAAGTGTCTGTTTTGAAACTGTTGACGGTCTCAGAATAAAGTTTTTAAATTGGGTGCCCCATATTTATATGAGTGTTTTTAATCAACTTGCTCAATGTTTGCATTCATCCATTTGGAAATGCAGTATGGCTATCTATACTCAAGTGATTATTCACCATTCTGTCTAAATAAATAGTTTCTGATAATAACTGACTGTTATCCCATTACTTATCAAAGATATAACCAACTAGTAGTTGGATGTATCTTGAGTTGAATGTGAACTTATGCAAATTAAATTGTATATTATTACTTAGCTCTATTTAGATATATATTCACATACATATTTGCTACAAAGTTTAACTCCTGATATCTGAACAAAATGGAGATAAATGAATGTATAAAACACATCTTACAAGCCAACATGTCTAATTTATTTGTTGAATGTAGTATCACTTGAAAATGTGCAAGAGAGAAAAAAATTCTAATAAATTATCTGTTAATACAATGTCTGAAAAGAAGTAGAATATGATTTAATTGAGTATTTATTAATACACTAGTAAAAATAAAAAACAATGGTACTACATGAATAAATATGAATAACTTTTTTTAAAATAAAAAGCTACCTGGTAAACGAAGACACCCCCCCCCCCCAGCAATAGCTGCATTACTAACATTTTTATATTAGTTTGTTAAATTGCATTTAACTAATCCATAACCAGTAATTCATAAGTATTTTCTGAAAATAAATAACCTAAATTAGGAACTTTTATTAAACGAAGTGAGCATAAACTTACAATGATGTCCCCAAACTTATATTAGTTTGTTAAATTGCATTTAACTAACCCATAACCAGTAATTCATAAGTATTTTCTGAAAATAAATAACCTAAATTAGGAACTTTTATTAAACGAAGTGAGCATAAACTTACAATGATGTCCCCGAACTGTTCAAAATGTTTTCTGAGTTCTGAATGAGTAATATCTTTTTCTAGATTGCCAATGAATAATGTTCTTGTTGCTTTGGGGTGAAATTCATCTAAGTCAGCCTCAAGAGGACGAAACTCGTTATCTTCACCATCCAGCCCTTCATGTGCCGTGACTTCAATTTTGCAGCCAAAAAACAACTTCTCTTTGGAAACCTCTAAAGCCTTCTCTACATCAGATGGTCTGAAATCAAAGAGTTTATTAATATAAAGTGAGACTGGATCTGATAAGACAATCAGGTTGAATAGTAGTTAAAGTAACACGTTACAACGTACAGTAATTAAAGATGTATTGAAATGAAATCTTACTTTTCTAAGATACCTTAAAATATTCAAAAACAGAAAGAGTCATTTATTAATTCAGACTACAATTCTAATGAAAAAAACAATTTGACAATAATGATACTTTCCACATAAAAAAAAACAGATATCATTAAATGACTGGTTCAAATTAATCATTTCAATTTTGTATATGATGTCATACATGCGAAACACAACATTGTTGGAAAAAAGAAAGTTTCCTTGTACTAAATATTTAACAGTAATGTGCAGTTCAAAATTAATAATGATCTATACGATTTTAACTAACTTACACATTTCTTTCAAAAGAATACAATACATTCATTAGTTTTCATGAATTTTAACTTGTTTTGATTCTCTAAGCATTTTCTATGTGAAATATACTGATATAATAATATTCTCATGAATTCTATGAACGTTTTTAGCCAATCAATTTTACGTTTTTTTTTCTTCTCTCATATGCCTTAAAGCATGCCAAAAAAGTTAACTATCTGATAAATAACGATTAAAATTTTGCATAAAAATCTACCTACCCAAGTGTTTACAAGTGACAGGTGGTGAAATGGACTTACTTTTTGAAGCAAACTACGGCATATCTGTCAGGTCCCTGACCAATTACTTTTACCATGGTGACTTTTCCATGCTTCTTGTATTCATGAAATAATCCATCCTTCAAGCTTGTATCTAAAAGAAGTTCCAATTTACCACAAAAGTCAAGTGAATATTACAGCAAATCACTAAATAAAGAACACAGGCCAAAAGAATATTTAGACCGATTACTTTATGATATAGGAATACTTTTTCCAGGGCTATGGCTCATTGTTCAAAATATCTTATAAAATCTCAATTTTTTGTAAACACTTGGCATTTAAATTCTTTTATTTTATAAACTTTTCATTAACATTAGAGACATATAAATTTTTAAAACTAAATAATTATACATTGTTGTATACATGTTTTGGTAAGTTTTATGATTAGTGGTATGTATGTGTGTGTGTGTCTGTGTTTTTTATAAAATTGTTTTTTTATACAGTTAAGTCATTCAACATTCTGTACTTATTAAAAACATATGAAATACCAGCATATTGAATAAAATATATAACATTTCTATGTTTGATTTTTAAAAAAATAACACATGGCCTAACAATACCTCATAATTAAAGAAATCACTGAAACATAAAAATCAAATATGATTGCTATTAAAATTTTTATAAAGAAGGGAAAAACAGAAAATTTCTATCTTCATGAGAGGGTTCACCATCCCTACAATTTTTATACTGTAGAATAGAATATTATCAACTAATATTCAAAAATCAAAGTTCTTCTGTACTTAAACTTATTTCTGACACTTCAATGTACTATCTTACATTTCACAATAATAATATTTTTGTAACAGTAATACTTATTTCTCAATGAGAAGACATATCTTAATACCATAAAATTCAAAATTAGCAAACTATTTTAATTAATATAAGGTCAGTATTCTGACACACATTTCAGTGTAACACAAGATATTGATTTTTGAATGAGAACTGTTGATTTAATTTTCTGTAATGATTTCACAAATTAGTAAGACTCAATTCTAACCCGATCTAAAACAGAAAAAAAAGCCAACTTTGCTATAAAAAAAAACAGTCCAGATGGCAGTGTATCCTTTGCATGGGGTCTTACTTCTGTGTATCCCTACTAATGCATGAGTCTTACTTCTGGAGATATTTCTATTATTTATTAAGGTATATTTTACCTTTATCACATTGTTTTATTTGTCTCTGATGTGTGAAACTTTGTTTTTGCTTGGTCTGTGTAGTTTCCTGAAAATTTCTTTGAAGGTAAGGAGAGACAGTTTCTACATTCCCTTTAGATGTAAAGACTAGCATAACCCTTTCTTAATATTTATAAGTAAATAAATAAACACTCTACAATTAATACATCAAAGGTTTGTTTATTTTTGTGCAAAGTTACACAGTGAGCTATATACACTCTGTCCACCAAGGGTACAAATTATATTGATTACATTTCATCGAGTAATCTTCATAGCAATGTTTTTAACTCAACAATAAGTGAAAAGTCTACATTAAGCACAAGTAAAATAAAAAAAAGATTTGAATATGGTAATAGCTATCATAAAGTATAAACTTCAGTTCAATTTGAGACTTTTAATATATGGATGATTTAACTGTAAGCCAAACATTTCATGAAAATTACATTAAGAAGTCATATAAAGCCTTAATTATTCAACCATAGTTACACACAAAAAATAATTCTGATAATAATAATGATAAAAGTTTCAAGTCTCAATGTATAACAGTTAATAAATACAAGTTTTTAATTGTTTAGGCATCTATTCTTAAAACTTCAATAGTTCATTACTTATTTTACACTGAGACTTCCTGTAAGTAACTTATATAGTTAAAGAGCAGTTTACCTAAAATCTTCAACCCACCTGTTGACCGTACTGGTAAATTACGCACACAGATGCTCAATACCCTTCGTTCCTCGCGTTCACTGTGGTTTTTTACAGGGTTTATCAAACAATTCTGTGACTGATTTCCTACAGATAAACTGCCAACATTTAGATTTGTTCCAACAGATTGCAAAAATGATGTTGATACTGTGCTACTAGGCCGATCAGATCGTCCTGTTTTTCCACTTTCGTGGCTCTCAAAAGAAGTCCTGTGAATCAAAAGAAATGGTAGCTTTGTAACCAAAATAGAAAAGTAAAAAAAAATACTTTAGTTTTCTGTTCACACAGTTTTCTCATTGTGCATAAAATATATATTTTATTTGCTATTCTCAAAATCAAAAATGGAAAATTTTTTGCTTTATCTTGAACATTATGCACCTCTAAAACACCCTGGAAATTCCATTCATCAACTTTGCCTACTCTCAATTCTAGAGCCACATGAAGTACCAGAAATTTCAAAATTTCCACTATCCCCCAATCTTTATTCAGCAATAAAAAATAAATTTAAAAAATGATGCAAGTACTCTTTTTCTTAATATTATGAATGTGAATAGAAAAGTTCAGTTTGCATACTTTTGCAAAAATGTGAATATCAAAACTTTAAGATTGCTTTAAAATGACTTTTCAACACTACGCACAGTAGCAACTGCTCGACTGAATGATTGCAATGACAGTACCTAATCACCATGGTCAGGGAATCCGTTCTTTATCTCTCACAAATTTTATAATATATTCTAATCCTATACCAAGCAGCATTGAGTAATGAATTCAATCTGTGCCTACTTAATTGAGGCAGTTACCTACTTCTTTTTTTTTTTTTGCTTTAAATTAATAATTATTCTTGAAAGTATGCCATATTGGTGGTGAACGAGAAAGAACATCTAAAAAACACCCTCCCTACCTTCATCCTGTCATCACTCTTATTCCCAAAGTTAATTTCACAGAATTAAGCTCAGAAAAAGTTTCTTTTCCAGTTAACTGCTGCTTCCAGATCTCTCTCACTGTTGTCTGTCATACCTAAAGGTAATAAGTTATCCAATCCCAAGTAATCTAAGTAATAACCTGTTTAATATTAGCAATATCCTTATCTACACCATACTTCCCTGTAGGAGTTGCTTCCTTTGAAAGGTCTAGTCTAAACAATAATGGTCACCATGTAAGTGTCTTGTATTGACATAACACATCACATTCTAAATATAAATTAAATCCAATTTCAAGTTTCTTTATTTTGCTGTGTCTACGAGGTATCAAACACTGTGCAAGCTAAAGCAGAATTTCTTCTCTTTTGTTCATTTAAGCATTTTTGGGTGGATAAAAGTTCATGCACTAATTAGATATGCCAATAAAACTATTGTTTTACATAAGAATGTATTTACTTAATAAGTGGTAAATAGTTCCGGCTCTTTATAAAATTTTTCTCAGTATACACGATAAATATAACAATACATCTTCTCAAATCCAGAATTTTGATGAGGATTATTTTGCTCAGTAACCATGAAAAGAGTATTCGATTTCTAACACTTTTCAAAATCTTTCCCCTACAGTTAGTTATCTTTTTTTTTTGTTGTTTGTTTGTTGAAAGAAAACTTACGCTGGTGACTGAGACTTGGACGGTGATGGTGACCTACTACTGCTGTTGGTAGAACTGCTTCGAAGTTTTGATGATGAGCTAGAAGACCGACTACCGCTACTACTATGAGAGCTTGACCGTGATCGAGTTTGAGAGTTTGATCTGGAGCCTGAATGAGAATGGGGCGACTGTCTTGACGGCCTTCGCCGCTTCCCACTCTGTGAGGGTGGTGGAGAATCAACAGTTGAGCTGACAGATGAAGATGCTATTGTTGATCTTCGTAGTAGCCTCCCTGGTCCAGAAGACACCGCTGCTTGTTCGTCAGTGTATTGGTCAAGTGGTGAAGGATAACGCTGCTGTTCAAAATGCTGTCGTTGTGTGTGACTACGAGGAAAATGCCCCTGGTTCCTAATACATACAAGATTAATAATTCCAACATTATGAAAAAAGTTAATAAAAATTGCACTACAGCTCTTTATAACATTTCAGTTTTTTGGTAATTAGATAATGTTGTGAAATAAAAGTAATATAAAACTGTTTACAAGCATTTTCAGTAATCTAAACTAATATTATGTCAGCTCTAATTCATAACTTTTTTGAATAGTATTTTTTTCAAATTCAGTCCCCCTCAACACAAACTTGTAGCAGTGCTATGATCACAAGTCAAGTCAACATAGCAATCTGTTAACAGTTCTCAATACACATGTTAATTAAATTTTCTTATACATGCATCTAATATGACCTAAGGATGCACACAGAAATAGGCTAAACTAAGTTTTTCAGACTGAATCACAACTTTTTAGATCATTTTTGCAAGACAGTAATTAATAACTTTTTGAAAGGGGAGATATTTTTTAAAGATGGTTTTAAAAACATTTTTATTTTTCGAGTCAAGAAGTTTTTTAGAGTACTTTTTTTACCTTTCAATGTTTTGTAAATACCCTTCTCAGTTCATTCAAACTTTTTCATGATAATTTCTTTTTAACCTTTATCTTTTTGTGAAGTTAATAACAAAACAATAACATCCTACATAAATGTGTATTTGTGGGGGGTATTACTCTACAAGTAATGGGTTATGTGAACTTTTTAGAGCAATTAAAATGGTCAATTTATAATTGGACAGAACTTATTTTCATGATAAAGTGGAATAATACTAAAATAACAGAATATGATCCACACATGACATAATGAAAAACAGGAGGAGTCTACATCCACCAAACTAATAACATACTCTGCCAACCTAGCACAGAAGTCAGCAAAACCTGGTTACCCCTCTTGGAAACATTCAAAAAGTTTATTCAACTTCTATTTTGGGAGATTGCAGTCCAGCAGATAAAGCACCAAACTTCTATCAAGAAGAACCAGGATCAAACCCTAGTTACTACCAACACAGAAATAGTAATAGACTTGGCTAACATCAACTTGGTTAACATCATACAGAATGTTAACCATGACAATCAATTCGCTTACAATTCGTGGTATTGATGCTAGCCCCTGCACCCAAGAATTCTCCAGAACTCTTTAATGTGTTTATAGCATAATGAAGCAAATGATAAAGTAATAAGAAAGAAATAATCTTGCTTGAATGTCATCAGCAAAGGACTTTGGACTTTGATATTGACTAAATCATGACATGAGCCAAACATGTACCACTTATATTCACTGAAAGGTTTAAGTACCCTGTGTACAAAAGCAATCAGTTTATGGACTGTGTCCCTGACTAAAGTACAAAGTTTTAAATATAAAACAAAGACTCCTGAAACACTGCCCATGTTTTAAAATTTTAAAACTGGTGCTGTAATGTTGGATTAATAATAATAATATGCTACACTTTGAAAAAAAGACAACAAATCTCGCAATATAAGTTTAACTAAGAGATATATTATTCTTAATTAAGTGGTCACAATCTTACAATTATAACAAATATTTCAGTAAATACAAACAGGAAATTTGAAATATTTGCTGCCAGAACAAAACCTACTTTTTTTTAATATATATATATATAAATATACCAAACTACTTTTCCAGGTGGAGAAATGTTTCATATGAGTAATTCTTATGATGTCTCAGCTTTTACACCTGTCATGTATAGCATAATAGTACAACCTCTCTAGATGTACAAAATCATATACTGCACATTAAAGCCAGGAAGTTGATGACTTGCACAAAAACCACCATAGCATTTCATTCATATTTGCTCAATTTACAGCTAACTATTATTTATTATGCAATTTCTGAAGTACAAAAATTTTCTTTAGATATATTTCACAAACAATATAAAAGTAGTTCATCTGTTTAAATTATGGACTGGTATTATTCATACCTACTTGCAATATATATCTTTTGAATCTGAAATTCAGGCTATGTTCTTAAAGTACGAAATTCAAATTTTTAAAGCTTATTTATCTGAACTACAGCCCCCATCTGGACTCAGTGGGTTTTGTTAATTAATCTCAATGGGCAGAGCACAGAGACAGCCTATTGTGCAGCTTTGTGCTTAACAACAAAGAAACTTAAACTGTGTGTATTACCTTTGTAAGGTTTGGACAAAACTGTGTGAATACGTGTTATTGGTATTATGTTTACTTATATCATTTTCAAGTGACTTGATAGTCCACTATTCACAATAATTTACAGTTCTTCATCTTAAGTTGCTGCTCAGATTTAAAACACTTCAATGTGATAAAATTCGCTTTGGTTATTAATATTTCGTTCACATTCGCATTGCATAGCTCCCTCTCTATCTCTCTTTTTTTTTCCCTAATAATTATTTTCCAGGCTGCTGCATTTCGATCAAGGGGATATTTCTCTTTCTTGGCTATATCGGGTAAAAACCAAAACATTTACCGCTCTGTTCCGTCCGGATATACACTTCCTGGTGCTGTGCGTAAAAATCTATCTCGTGATCTTCCTCTAGCCTGGTAACTTTCGTCGTCATGGTAACCAATTCCAACGGAACGCCTCAAATAAGGGTCCCTCTCGCCAAGGCGGTCGTAGTAGAGAGGGGGCCGTTCGTAGGACCTATCTTCTGGTACACTATGAGGAAGATAGGTAGAGATAATGTCAGCTAAAGTCGATTGAAAAATAGATTATTTACGGAATACGTGTACGTTTAGACATATGAGGTCTTGTGAAAAATTATTTATCTCAACAGTGATAAAAACCTTTTTAGCAATTATTTAAAATAAAATGAAGTTAACATTTTCGAAACCTTATTTATTCTATCCAAAGTGTGCTTTCCTGTTATATTTAGAAAAATATCAACGCTAAGTTTAATTAAGTCGCCACATTACGTTCACAAAAATCTAATTATTAAGTACAACTGATAAAATATACAAAAATTATCTAACACTGCCGTACTTTGAAAGCAGTATATAATCTATAAAAATTATAAAATTCACACAGAGAATTTTCGGGAGAAAAATAAATCGAGAAAACAACACTGGTTTAATAAATACAAAAACACGATAAAATTTCTTAAAAACCTCATTGTAAACGTCTGCTCGTGTGAAGTAATTTAGTGTTCTTTATAATATCTGAAAAATAAATCGAGAAAACAGCACTGGTTTGATAAATACAAAAACACGATAAAATTTCTTAAAAACCTCATTGTAAACGTCTGCTCGTGTGAAGTAATTTAGTGTTCTTTATAATATCTGAAAAATAAATCGAGAAAACAACACTGGTTTGATAAATACAAAAACACGATAAAATTTCTTAAAAACCTCATTGTAAACGTCTGCTCGTGTAAAGTAATTTAGTGTTCCTTATAATATCTGAAAATGGGGTGTACGATAATTAGATCACAAATGTGATATCTTTACAGCTCTCACATGTGAACTCTCCATCGAAAACTTCACCTTACTTAAAGAAAGAAATAAAACTCGGCGAATTAATATTTGATTTACAACTTGAACGTCAAAAGGTAATGAAATCGTGAGGGAAATATATATATAATGTAAAGCATGGGGAATTGGAGGAATTATTTTGAATGAATAAGCATTTACAGTAAGGTTTCTTAAGAAATTCAAATTGTTTCTTTTTTTGTAATTATCACACCAGTATCTTACCTTCTACCAAAACTATTTACATGAATTGTACAAATTAATAGGTTATACTGCTTTACGAAATTTCTTGGTGAATACTTACACCCACAGTTTATCTTTTTAACATAAAAAATATACTGCCTTTAAAATATACAAGTTGCTACTTAGGGTTAAATCAGTTAAATATATTGGGATTGCAATAGTAACTGTTAGAAAACTGTTTACTAAATAACTGTTAACAGAGAGGTTCCGAGTAGATGATAACTCGAAAACATTACAGCTTTGTTCGAAATCTACATTTTAAGCCTAAAATTGCACCTATAACGTAACGTGTTCAGCTCTGATTAATGTACAACAATTGTCAACAGGCCCTGCGATATAGCCTAACACGCAAAACAATTTAAAATAAACAAAACAAAAGTAACGAACAATACCAGCGTATCATTAGAGTAACAACATATACACATTCAGAACTAAAGTCACGAATTACTGTTAGAACGGGTCATTTGCCTTAGAATATCAGATCTAAAATTATGTTAGTCATTCTTATAACAACAACAACAACAACACGTGTAAAATACATTTTACACGCCTTTTCCACAAACGCTTTGCAAAGGGTATGCTGTTTGGAGCTTCAACGAGTGTTCCTTATCTAACGACAGATGTTAAAATTAATGAATTTGTTCGGTTTTTTGACGCCTTCGATTGTTCCTTACTCTTAAAATTACAAACAGATAATATTTAGCCAAATAAGCACTAACTAAAAACTAGATTAACGTGAAATAATAAAGACAAATTCAGGTAAAGCAAATTAATGATTAACTTTGACAGGTGACTACACGGACCTCACATGTGACTAAGGGAGTGGTTAGCAGAGAACACCAGACATTCAATGAAAATAAAGAAAAACAAAATCAAGAATATTCAGTTAATTTGCTATATGTAGTTCAATACCTTACATGCTGCTTAGCAATCAACTAATTACTAAGCACCCTAACTCACAAGTAACCAAACCTATAGAAAACAAATCAAACATAAGCCAAAAAAATCTACTTTTACTGTTTCTGGATTTTATGTTGAAATCACATTAACCAACTAGAAAGAACAATAGAATGACTCCCATTCCTCGATACATTATATGCAATTTCATGCACTGAATCAAAGTATGAATCAAAACACCATCAATAACAACCTCTTTTAACGTTTCTACATGCAGACAACGTTTCTAGATCCATAGCTTCTTGGAAAGTGGGTTGAATTTGTGGCAGATTTCTAGATTTTGAAGCTGGAAACCCGGGTTTGAATCTGTGCGATACCATAACATATTTTCCACACTTTAAGCTGTGGGTTCTGCTGACTGGTTCCTTCACTCGTATCAGTAGTTCAAATAAATACACATACAATACAATATCATCAGGTCTCCCTATTACATAAATCGCGTTTGTTTTTTTTGTTTGCTATGACCATTGTAAACTCAAACGAAAGGCATAAGTCTCACATATATCTGCTTTAGTCTGTGGGAGATCTTGCAAGGTGTCTTTGTGTCAAGTCTTATTTGGACTGATGGAAATATAAAGGGAAATGCAGATGAAAAAAATGCTTTTCCATGTATGACCTTTGACCGCATAAAATCGGAAAGAGGCATGTGTTAAAATTTTGCTAAGAAGCTATGTTTTGGTATGTACATACACATATACACACAAAGATATATATATATAATATGCAATGCACGAAATATTCATAAGTTGTTCTAAAGTACAATTCCACAGCAATGTACACAGTGATTATATAGAAAGATTAGCGTGTCATATCTATGGTACAGGAAGTCGAAATCCCATACTGTTGTTAAGGGTATTTTGCGGGTACAAACACCACAAATACTGGTTAATGCCGTCCTCCAGAGTCTAGGGTTTGTTTGTTTTAGTCTTATGAAACAAGCTTTTTCTCGGATAAAATTGTGCAATTCATAAAACTCATGATTATTGAAAGTTTATCCATACATAGCTGACACCGAAACTCTCATATCAAGACATTGGATTGTCTCAGTTTTCGTAACTGATACACTAGTCATGTATACATATAACCAGTTGAAGAATCATACTGAAGGCCAATAACGCTAAAATCCTGGTTTTGATACTCGTGGTAGGCATAGCACAAATAGCACATGTGTAAACTCTGTGCTTAACAACAAACGACCAGTCATAATTTCACGTTCACCCCCACACTGATAGATGAATTGTGAAATATAATTTTCAAATCCTAAGTGATCAAAAGCAAATATAAACGATTTCAACTTCATTAGCTGTATTTTACGAATATTTTAGTGAGGTTTTATTTTACTTCTAATTTCGTTAAAATACAATTCTATTGATTGAATTGTATTCATTTGATGTAAAACTTTAGTTCTTGAATGAATAAACAAATTGAGGTGGGAATCATTATATTAAAACCTTATCATATATGATATTTGTTTAGTGTGAACACATTTTTAAGTTACTAATATGTTTCCCTTTTTTTTTCTTTACAGTACCTTTACCCAAAACCTAGAAATAAATACCAAATAACATAGGGCACGGTGGTGCACGCATGGAGTCAAACAGATAAGTAACAAAAAAAGTTCACGCCGTGATTTAGGACATCGACCTTTTTTAAGGTGATGGTAAACGTCAAGAACGTTTAAACCGTCCCAGATATCTGATGATATTATAACATTCAAGTTGGATGACTTCGTGATAACAAAATGAAACTTTAGAACTTTATAAAACTCTCTAAAGTAATACTATTATTTATTTTGATCCAGTGACACCAAGTGTAATGTTGTGTTTGTTCAGTCCTAACACAACGTTAGGCCTATTTGCCAGTAAAAAAACTCAAATTAACGGCCTAAATCCATTGTCTAAAGCTTACAATGCACCTAGTCAAGCTTAGTTATATGAAATTCTACAATTTTAATTTAAAGATCAACTAATCCATGTTATAAAATTTAAATATTACCTACTTGTTTCGTTTATTTCTTAACACAAAGCACAGTTGTTTATAAATTATATGTAATAATATGTAGCTTATTCAGAGAGCCTGATTTAGACTTATTCTATATTCAATCAACCTGTTCTTTTTGTAAAATAAAAAAGTAGTCCTTAACTTGACAAACACAATTAAATATAATTACGAAGTATACAAATAAAAATTATATATTTTATCATGAAAATTCTAAACCATAATATTTATCCCATAGTGATTCTCAGTTAACGAGTTTGTACATACCGGCTAAACATAGTTTATCTACTAATATTAACAATTTCTTTCTTTTGTGTTAGCTCAAAGTTCGTTACGAATTTAAGTATTGTTGAAATTTGAAAATGACAGAATTCGAAGTAACTATGTTTAAAATAAAATTAGACACAAATATATTTATACATCACTCTTAGATTTTTTAACTATAGTGTCAATACCGTTACCAAATCTAAAATACTACAATTTAAGTTTATTAATTTAAAATAAATAGAAGAATGAATTATATCATCATTAGCGGCTGAATCTTGGACAGTTTCTTGCTTATCCACATTATCAGTAACACCTGTTTATATAGGATTGGAAGATTATAAAATGGTTCGGATTTTGATAAATGAAGTAGGTATATGAATAAAGAATATGCAACATTTAAAAGCGCTATTGAGAAAAGAAAAAAAAAAGAAGATTTAATTGTGCGTTTCACAACTACAAAGTTGACAATTTAGACTGCCAACGTCAGCTTCCTGTTTTTGAATTACTACGTGACAGTGCTGTAAGATATTCGCGAATAAAAAACAACAACAACAAAACTTTAAATGATGTCGAACAACGACACAGTTACGTTCTACCTGCACAACAGCAAGAGAGAGAAATCATGTGGGTCTATATTAGCGCAAAATGAAATAACGGAAATATGCAACAAATTAAAACACTAAGTCTAACACAAGTTTGACAACATCCAAGAAGCTATTCCTCGGTTACTTCCCTGCTGTTGTTGAGTGCAAAGTTCAAAATAAAACATACTAACATATTTACTTGTTTTATTCGCACTGTCATTACGATGCATTTGTTCTTGCCTCTTTTCCAGGCTTCGCGCATGTCTGAACTTGCTCAAGTCATTATTATTATTGAAAAAGTGAACATTTAAAAATGCACTATTATGGGTCGACTTTAATAACCAACTTTCAGTAATACCTGTGTTATTAAAACGTAGGAGCTTTAAAGTTATAGTTTGTTAAAAACTACTGAAAAAAATAACCGAAAAAGTTGCAAAGTGTAAAAATTATTTTTGTTCAATACAAATTATATTTATTTTCTAATGTGCATTATAGTTCGTATTATCACCTAGAAAGATGTTTATAACAAACACAACGATAGCCACAAGAAGGCATTATTTAGGGATTGCGTTAAACTGGGCACAATTAAAAGATAATCCGAGAAGCTAAGAATTTTATAGCAGTTCGAAAGTATGAGAATATGCATACAACAACAAAAAATAACAGTGGAAAATTTTGTGACTGAACTTATGGCTTGCTTGTGAAAGACTTGCATGTTGTGATGTGTTCGCGTTCAACTTATTAACGGGCAGTTAGGTACACAACTTTGTCTAAAGCATAACATTAAACACTACTTTTACAAACTGCAACAGTACATATTCATAATTAAAACATAACACACACACACGCGCGTGGCTCAGTGCTAAGTCTATAGGCTTGTAACACTAAAAACCGGGATTCTATAGTCGTGGTGAGCACAGCACCGATAGCCTATTGTGTAGCTTTGTGTTTAACCACACACACAAACAAAAGAAGCAGAAACGATAACAGTTTATATTATTCGTATTGTTCAGCTTGTAGGAACTACGAACAGTGTATAACCTGAAAGTAAGGATGTATAGGTCGTGGCATTAAGATCCTTCCGACGTCGACTCCTTAAGAGTAGAACAAGGAGTGCGAGGTTTTCACCTTTTGCTTGGCTATCGTCTTTTAAATTCTGTTGCATACTCCAAAGACAACAGGCTTAAAATTCTGTGTTTCTGAACCTCGCAAAATCTTTACTAAGCTTCTTCGCGTAGATTCTTCCCTCGGCGAATCCCTTTCCCTTTTTCTCGTTCGTTCAAATATTTTTCTCTCTTTATTGAGAAACGTGTTTGCTACTTTCTCAAGGTTTATGGGCCTACGTTTCACCTGTGTGACTTGTTAAGGGTCGAATCTCTTCTACGCTGAGATGTGATAACAGACTACTGAAGCATATAATATGCTTTTTAGAGAAATGACTGGAAAGATGACAATTTTAATGAATAATAGGACCTTTCTTAACTCATACAGCCAATCTGGTCACAACATCAACCACAGCCATATCAATGTACAAACCAATTCAATAAGCATGTGTTATGCCGGAGTACTCCTGGGGCAGAAGGGTTTGTTTATTGAGCAATTGAACACAGTGGTCAACATGCCCTAACCTTCACCGGAGTACTCCTGGGGCAGAAGGGTTTGTTTATTGAGCAATTGAACACAGTGGTCAACATGCCCTAACCTTCACCAACGTTGGTAAGCACTACGTTCTCATAACCTTCATCAAATCTGATGAGCACTACGTAGTCACAACCTTCCCCAAATCTGATAAATACTATGTTGTAATAATAGTCAAATACAAAGTGATTGGTTGAGCACATTTACGTAAGCGAATTCCTCAACAAAAAAAAACAAAACAATTCCACCCCTTCTTTTAATTAAGTGAGTGGGATTTACATTTCTGAAGTTTAGGTGCTCGGTGATTCGTCCATTTAGTCTCCTAGCTATCGGTCTTATATACCCTTGTTTACAAATGGGCCATTCGTACTGTTACATGGCCGCAGTGCCATGTTAATTCGATCTTTGAACGGAAAGTTTTTTTTAAAAAGTCTGCACTGAGATCTGAAAACACAGTTGAGTTAAATTTGCGAATTTATTTTATTAATCAATTCCTTGACCTTTTTCGAATTTTTGTTATGAACGGCATGCTTCCTAGATAAGTAATACTAGGGATAATTTTTGGGTACATTATATACAAGTCGCTGTCTATCTGTGCATTTTTCACTTTGTCCACCAGGTTGGGTGGGTTACAATTATTGCATTATGTGACGGATTTGCTATTATATATTTATTTTAATATCGATGTTTGTTTAAATTAATTTATATTTACCAGTGTTCATAACTTATACAGTTAAATATGTATCGTGAAACTCCCGCCTATTCTCTTAAGTTGCAGAAAGAGTTTAACAAGTGTCAGATTTCGCGCTTTCCGTTAGCGATAAATTATCATAGATATGGGGGTGGGGCTTAACTGGTTTACTAACTAAGTTAAATAATATATTTAAAATTATATTGCAAATGAGAAACTGCTAAAACATCTATGGAGTGTATAAATCATTTGCAAAATACAAACATTTTATAGTATTAATAAACGTAAAGTGTATATAAAGAGAGTGAACTCCATAAAGGTAATTGAGATACACAAAAATGAGCTATCAGTGGAATACCTAAACTAGTTTCAAACTTTGCTATTAAACGATCTCATTTTATCTCCAATGAAAAGAATTGTATGCACATTTGGATGGGGTTGCTATGGGATCCAACTTAGCACCAGATTTACCTAACTGTATTTCTACGCTTTCGTGAAAAACAATGGCTGGAGAACTGCCCAACATGATATAAACCTGTATAACACCACAACTATGGTGATGATACCTACACTATCTCAGAAATCCGGACTCACGTAGAATCTCTCACCTCAACAAACAACGCTGTAACCCTAACTTTATGGCACAACATCAGCATCTTCTTCTTCTTGGCCACCCATACCACTAACGATAATGGCGTTTAGTCATTTATGTTGTACCGTTTGTCAGTGTTAACGTGAATGTTGACTCAATTAAATGGTTATGTACCATCTATAGCTAAATTATGCTTTGGCGCTAAGCAGGTATTCTTGTATTAGGGGCCGAAAACACCGCTAGTAGCGAGGGTACCCAAAAATAAGTTGATCCTAATATTAGCCTATCTAGGAAGGATGTCGTTCATGATAAAAATGAAAGTCAAGAAGCTGATGGAATAGAACAAGTTGACAAGACAAATTCAACTGTGCTTTAAGATCTCAATGTAGGCTTAAACAAATAAATTAATAAAAACTTTATTTCCGTTAAAAGATTGAATCAAATATTTACACAGTACTATGGTCGCGTACCAGTATGAATGGTCTATTTGCAAACCAGGGAATATGGGATCGATAACTAGGAGACAAGAACGAATGAACGAGAGCATCTAAGCTTCAGAAGTATGAACCGCACACAAGTAGGTAAACACATACTGAACTAACTATCGCGACAGTCCACCTTACAACCAACATTAATTCTTCTTCATAACACAGAAGGAGAGAAATCTACGTACTCTTGAAACCCTGAAAATAAAACTAAGGAAACCAACGATCCACAATCGGAAACAAGAATTTTTCTCACATTTGCGAAAACTGTAGATGAACGTTTTTGTGAACAAAACATTATACACCATACTTCACAGATATATTTTCAACAGAAAAAACACACTCAATACATTCATTGGCTTTTAATTACACGATGCCTTATAAGAAGCTAATTTTTACACAAAGTTGAACAAGGTAAATAACAAAAGTTAATGTTTAAACGCCGAAAGCTGGCGAAGCATTAGAAGCTAACCAAGTCTAAAAAATAAAAAATCTCTTTAACTGCAGGTTTTTTTTTGTTTTTTTTTGACATTCGTATTAATTTGTCCATTTCGAATTTAAAGTCAGAGGCGCGCAAAAATAACATTAGAGATTCATCTTTCGTCTGCCACAAGTCTGTTCTTGAGGCCTTTCGTTTAGTACCAGAATTAGATAGTTGGATTGGGTGACGAGGCTAAAGGTTCTCCATATATGCTGAGTAATACTTTGAAAGTTACGGATTAAATGCGGAAAACTGGCGAAGCATTACAAATTAACAAATCTGGTATTGAATGAAAGGCCTTTTGGGCAGTGACTTGTGGGAGACAAAAGTTAGAACTGTAATGCTATTTTTGCACACCTCTGATTTTGAATCCATAATGAACAAATTAAAATGAATGTGGGAAAAAACAAACACCCGAAGTTAAACGTCATTTGATCATAAATAATACTTTAGAAAATCACAGCGGGTATCTTAGTTCCAAATATTGTTTTTAAGCTTCCTAGTGAAAGATGTATAAACTTGGCTAATAAACGGTGTTTATCTTTGTTGAAACAGACATGTTACTCTAATTACAATAATAAAAGGCATGGCCAGGTGGTTAGGCCGCTCGACTAGCAATCTGAGGGTCGCGGGTTCGAATCCCCGTCACTCCAAACATGCTCGGGGCGTTATAATATTACGGTCAATTCGTTGGTAAAGAGTTGGCGGTGGGTGGTGATAACTAACTGCCTTCCCTCTAGTCTGTCTTACACTGCTAAATTAGGGACAGATAGCCCTCGTGTAGCTTTGCGCGAAATTCAAAACAAACCAATAATAAAATCCTCCAAAACATTAAGACTATAATACTCTACATAATATACATACACGTCTTAAGGCTTACAGTGTTCCGTATTAAACAAAGAAACAAAATGCATAGAATAAGAATAGAAACAAGGATCTTGGATTTGGAGAACATCAAGCAACAAGACTTACCAGTGTGGGTATCTTGGCGCCCTCGCCGCAGGGTACAAAGGTGCAATAGAACGTCCTAAAGCGTCGTCTTTCTCGTGGATGTAAATACAAGTAGCAGAACTGGCCGCACTAGACACTGGGGGTTCATAATAATCAGTTTTTAACGTCCTTTCGTCTATTTTATTATCTGCATTGTGCGCTTTGGCAGCAGATCGAATGTCTATGAATGCTACAGTTGCGGCCACTGTGGATGTGTTTTCATCTTTTTTTGGTAAAATCTTCACACTCTGAACCTTGCCATACCTTCAGAAAACATAGAAAAGAATTATAAATAATTCATGGTTATTTTTACAAAGGACATTCAAAGTACATCTGCGAAATCCCATAATAAGGAAACACTGTACTATATAATTTTTACAACAATTAAAAAAAAACTTAACCTAAGAGAACTGCTATAGTAAAAACTCGAAAAAAAATTTGTGTTTGAATATTACTTGTTGGTCATTTAACTTCAGAAACTGACGAGCGAAAGTGTGGTCTACATGTCCAAAACGATTATCAAGTTTCAAAACGAAGAAATAAATAAAAATTGATGAAATAATAGTACCTTACGTCCAGAAACTAAGACGCATATATTTTAAATTTCTGCAAGTTTTCTGGCTCGCTTGCAAAGATGTTAGTTATGCAATTAAAGAATATAGTTCGAAAGCGTGGAATGTGACATCCAAAATAATGGTTAGAAAATAATTAATTAACGAAAAAAATGAAAGAAGCATATCCAACCGAAACTCATCACATGCCAGAACTTTAAGATTAAAGTCACGTAAATTGCATATTTTTTTACCACATTTTTCTTACTTTGTCCTTTTCGGAATCAAAATCAAAGGCGTATAAAAATAACATTTCAGATCTATTATGTAATATAGCGCCCCCAGTGGCGTAAATTGCATATTTTTTTTACCACATTTCTCTTACTTTGTCCTTTTCGGAATCAAAATCAAAGGCGTATAAAAATAACATTTCAGATCTATTATGTAATATAGCGCCCCCCAGTGGCACAGCGGTATGTCTACGGACTTACACAGCTAGAAACCGGGGTTCGAATCCCCATCACACCAAACATGCTCGCCCTTTCAGCCGTGGGGGCGTTATAATGTGACGGTCAATCCCACTATTCGTTGGTAAAGGAGTAGCCCAAGTGTTGGCGGTGGGTGGTGATGACTAGCTGCTTACACTGCTAAATTAGGGACAGCTAGCGCAGATAGCCCTCGTGTAGCTTTGCGGGAAATTAAAAAAAAAACAATTCCTCACTGACAAAATTCGTTAGATATTACATACTATGTGTTTTCGGACACTATGACCACAGTACTACTCTTGACAGGAACTTAGTAGCTCCTATTAGTTGTCATCATCTTTCCTGTGATGAAAGACGCACAACGTTTTTTTTTCTGCTTCCGCTAACACATCCTGGAGAAAAGAACTTGGCATTTCTTCGCTGAATATTACAAAAATGTTGCCAATGGCAACGCCCAAACTTTAGAAAGAAATCCAAATAACTTGCAACTATACCAAAGAGGGAAGAAAGTTGATTAAAGGATATTTAGTACACAGATCTATTCAACTGATGTAATGGTGAAATAATCTCATTAAACATCGGAGCCACGTATGCTAGTGGATACGATACTTTTAAACGATTCCACTATTATGAACAACTAACATAATCTGAAACATAAATTATTACCGCAAGATGCCACTTGTGGGCGCATAGAATTAACCAATCAACACAATATCTTTTACACGTGATTTGTCCCAATTGATGCTCTTTTAGATACAATTTATCTACGTAGGAATGTATATATATTATTTTTTTTTTTTAAATCACTTTGCAATATTAAAAAAAAATGGCAACTTGAACAAATTACGATGAGAATAGTCAAAACGTTTGTTTGTTATCAAGCACAATTGTATGTTTGTAATTAAGCACAAAGCTACACAATGGGCTATCTGTGCTCTGCTCCTCCCCACGGGTATCGAAACCCGAATTCTAGCGTTGTAAGTCCGCAGACATGCCGATGTGCCACTGGGGGGCGTCAAGCACAAAACCATACAATGAATTATTTGAGCTTTGCCTATCGCACGTATCGAAACGCAAATTTTAGCGTTGTAAAATGTGTGAAACTTACCGCTGAGCCACCAGAGAGTTCATTTAGTTGTTTAATGTTTTGTAATTATTACTGCTTTGATGAATCTATATAAATATAGTTGTACTGTCTGTAGTATGTCCATGTAACAACTTCGCAGGGTGTGGATGGATCTTCACCAAAAATGGTATGGAGGTTCATTAGGTTCATGGGGAGACACATACACATTTTCAGTTTTGCATTTTGAGGCTTTTATGGGCGTTTTTTACCATTACTTGGCACCCTGTAGATGGATCTTCACTAAATTTAGTATGGAGGTTCACTGGGTCCATGGGGAGATTATACAAATTTTCAGTTTTGAATTTTGCGTTTTTTTATGGGCGTTTTTGCGTTTACACTTTTTTTTACCACTACTTCGCCCTCTGTTGATGGATCTTCATCAAATTTGGCATCAACGTTTGTTGGGTCCATGCGGAGATACGAGCAAACTTACGGTTTCACATTTTGTGTTTTGCAGTTCTTATGGGTGTTTTGCGTTTTTTACAATTGCATATAAGGGAAGCAACTTTTCATGTCCTAATAAGATAACCTTTCATTAATCACGAATTTACATAACTACCGTCTATGGGACGGGTACTCCAGCTTGTTTATTATAAAATAGGAACACCTTCATTCACACGTAGGTTTAGAATTATTTTTAATTATTGTTTGTTTGAAGTTAAGCACAAAGCTACACAATGGGTCATCTGTGCTCTGCCCACCACGGGTATCGACACCCAGTTTCTTGCGTTGTAAGTCCGTAGACATGCCGCTGTGCCACTGGGGAGGGGCTATTTTTAAATAATTAATTATTATCTTTAATTAAATGGGTGTGATGTGTGCAAATTATTTAAAATAAATGAAACAAGATTCAACTGAAATGGGTCGCGTGATTTATGGTGAAGGCTGTGAGCAGCTATGCGTTTAATTATTATTCACCACAAGATGTTTTGTGTGAAAGGTTAATTAACATTGTTGAATTATATATAGATATTGCAATTCTCATTGGTCATGCGTGAAAATTCAATTCACGGTTTCATAATTTCCGATCGATAAGGAATTATCAACTACCACCGACGCCCTAAAATCGTGGTAATCAACTTCTGTGACTAAATAACATCTAAAAACACCATACATATACCGTTCACTACCACAAGAAGCCTAGTTTTGTCTTTCGATTTGCCCTTTTCCAGGGTTCCTAATAAGGGGTTGAGTTCTCCAAAACCAGTATAACTTTGTAATAAGAGGGGGGGGGGGGGTGAAAAATCCAATAGTGGATTGGGTTTCATATCCATTTCATTTTTGCATCACAGATTTATCATTTATGGGGATAAAAATGTAGGTTACATTTTGAAGAACAGAGGTTTTTATAGGGAAGTTAAAATGAATGAAACTAGTGTCCAGTGTATAAGTTAATCAAACTGAATACGACGTGATTGGAACAGAACACGTGGTTTATTAAGCAGTTATGCTAAATATACAGGGAAGTTTATTCAGTTATTTTTTGCATTTTATACAAACTTTAAAATCGCTGCTTCATTTCAGGCTGATAAGAGGAACTGCAAATATTTTCCATCTGCAGTTATATTACAACTGATATTGTATGAGGAAACACCGGGTAACACACCAAGAAAACCATCAATTCACAGGCTGATGGCCTGTGGGAATGGAGAGTGTCTTTTCAACGCTGGGTCCATTGCCATTTGCTAGAACGTGTCAGTTAAGTTACTAGAAATGGTATCCAACGGATCAACATCTCTTTGTATTACCTTATCGCTTGCTTAATCCGTTTAACAGTTGTTGTACATGTAAAGTGATCATAGACCGCATGATGAGCCCTGGTATTCAACGAAAGTCCTCGTCGGCACTGAATATGGTAGATCTAGCGTGGTTGACATGTTTTAACTGATTCTAAAGAATCTATAACGAAAAGCTAAAGAGAGTCGGTTTGACGTCACCAGATGATGATCAAGTATAATAATGGTTGGAGACGGCTTGAATGGGTAATCAAGTAAAACTTTAATATAAGTTTAACGTAACAGCAAATGTACAACGTTTCGACAAGGTTTTGTCATCATCATTTTGTACCTGATGACAAACAACATCCATTGAATACCTCGGTAGCCGTATACGAGTTCACGTGGCCAAAATGCAACAAGGGATATATTAGATCAACCACTAGAAAGTTCTGTAATCGAAAGAACACTGTAATGCTAAAACCTACAAAACTAGTAGTATTAACCACTGCCTAGCCAAATGTGATATTACACCTACCTCTGGTTTTTACCGCATCATCCTTCATACCCAGAAAGAACTAGAATCGTTTACCATTAACCTAAGAAAACCAACTGTTAACCAGAAGATTAGCACACTGCCACTGTCTCATAACCTAAGAAAACCAACTGTTAACCAGAAGATTAGCACACTGCCACTGTCTCATAACCTAAGAAAACCAACTGTTAACCAGAAGATTAGCACACTGCCACTGTCTCATAACCTAAGAAAACCAACTGTTAACCAGAAGATTAGCACACTGCCACTGTCTCGTAACCTGAGAAAACCAACTGTTAACCAGAAGATTAGCACACTGCCACTGTCTCGTAACCTGAGAAAACCAACTGTTAACCAGAA